GTTCAGTTGCTCTCCAACTTCACTGACTGACGCATGTGGTGGTTATTCAATGGGGGAGATAAGGCATCAAAAGTTCAAACCGTGTGGATGTGTTAATGTTCAAGACCCTAGGAAAGGCGTGAATCCTTGTGACAACGATTCAACATGCCCCTTCAATGCTGGACCAGATAAGATCACTGGACCAGAAATGTATGACCAATTTTATGCTGTTGGAGGTGCAATAACGTTTGACAACCAGACAGACGATGTTGAAGGTGACATTGAAAGGGCAATGGCATTACTGAATGAATTGAAGGACATCTTAGCCACTGACAACTGCTCTGGAAGTAGAAATTTTAGTCCTCAAGCCTTAGAACTGGTGAAGTGTCTAGAAAATCTTGTGAATGGAGATTCATTGGTCAGTGAAAATGACTACATAATGCGAAATTTTTCAGCAGGTGAGTTGAATGATGACCTCGAAGGACTGGAAGGTGTGACACGCTTTGATGATCTCAATACAAGGTTTAAGGACATGATTTGCAAGTTTTACAGTGAATTGGAGCCACTGGAGGATGGAGTGAAAGAAAAGGCGATTTCCAACCTGGAGAAAATGCGCAAAGCCCTGATGAGTGGTGAGATCGTGAAGGGGGAAATGGAGAACACGTCTCGTGACGAGGATACAAAAAAGGGAGCATCATCCTCTGCTCCGGTGGAATGTGATGGTGGAACATGTGAAATTGAGCAAACAGGAGAGAATGCGGAAACTGAACCCTCGGACAGGGGGACGCGTAACACCTCACACTACCCATTAATGGAGGATAATGACGGATTTGCAAATACTTTGAAAGATAATGCCTCCAATATGCCTTCAAAGAAGGTGGAAGCAACGTTGAATGCAGCTTCAAACAATTCAGTGATGGAAAGGGAAAGAAATGTCCTCTCCACAATCGACATTCGAGAGAAGATTACATCATTCCTTTGTAGACGAGATAACTTAACTTCAATGAAGTTCGATGAAACATTGCTGCCAATGCTTCATGATTTGGATGACATTTTGAACACACTTGAAACCAGACTCAGCACCTCGAAACAACCGCTATTGTCCGATCACCGAGATTGTCAGAACTCGATCAAGCCGACCGCTACTTTGGCTTGGGTGATTTCGTGTTTGGAAGGCTTCATTAAACGCATTGAACCGGGGATGCAAGTTCCAGAATGCAGTCTGGAGGCCAAGATTTGCACCCTCTTATGCATTTCCGCCTATTTACTGCAAGTCCACCGTCCTGACTTGTCCAACTTGGAAATGGTGGAGGAGGTTTTGAAATGCCTTCACATTGAGCTGTCTCTACAAGGCACAGGAGCGTCTGAACTGGCTGCCTACACACGACAACTGGAGGAGATGGTTTTAAATGCCAAGACGCTTACAGGTAACACCAAATTGGAAGGGAATGACGAGAGAGAAGCACCAAATTCAACAATTCTTATAGATGCAAATCAAACTCAACAAAATGACCCAACAGATGAGGATGTTGTAGATGCGACACAAAAAGCTCCACTACAGACCGAAGACGCACCTAAAATTTGTCACCAAATCACTCCACTGGAAGGTGGAGTTGAAGGTGAGCAGCCAATCACCTCCTAAGGCCTCTTCATCAGTAATGCAGGGAATGAAAACAAAACAACAACAACAAATTCCTCACCACGCTCCTCAAAACGGAATCCCAAAGGATCCCCCTTATCATTTCTGGTTAATTTATGCACATTTATTTGAAACCCAAAATAAATAATGGAATATTTTTTGACTAAATTCTTTACTTTTTTACTTTGTCTTGTCCCAATGAGGGCAGTTGGGTCGTGAGGCCTGCAACTTGTCACTGGGTTTGCCGCATTACTTGTCACGTGAAAAATTTGACGTATCGATTTTCATAACAATCGTTGGAGGTGGAGTTTGAGGGAGACTGCAAGTTGAGAGGTGCCTCACCCTCATCACCAAGGCGTAGTGAATCAGAATAAATCCTTCACATTGTTAAAATGAATAGCCAAAATCACGGAGAGGAAAATGCTGATAGTCGAGGCGAGGATTTGAATGAGGATGCGGTGAAGGCTGCCTCAATTGACAACAATGCCAACACTTGTACTCCAAGCAGTGGACAAGTCTGTGGCAACATTGATGCTGAAAGTGTGAAACGAACTGTGGCACAATTGAAAACAAGTGTGAGTGAAATCTCTCGTGTTATATGCAATCAAGCGTCAACCGGTGAGGGGAGAATTTTAAAGGAGATTAAAGATATAAAAATGCAATTGTGTGAAATACGTCGACAATTAAAACGCCAAAATAATGAAGATGAGGAAACAGAAGGTGAAGGTGCAAATGAAACTAGTGCGGAGACGACTGATACCAATTTGGTTGGTAATCCTACTTTGAGAAACATTCAAGAAACGCTGAAGACACTTCAATGCAAACTCGATGCAATTTCATTGAATGAGATTAATGAAACGCTGACTGCAGTGTTGGCTGATGTGGACAAACTTTTGAGTTCACAAGACGACGGTGAATGTAAGGTTAGTGAGGGTTGTACAGAAGAAGATCGCTTAAAATCGACAACTCAGTTGAACAAGGCTGTGGCATGCCTTCAAAAACAAATAAAATGCATTAAATGTGATGCAGTCATTGAAGGCTGCGATCTTGAATCCAACCTACGTTCCATGTTGACAATATTGAATGAAGTGATTACAACAAATCGTCCAGACTCAAATAAGTTAGGCAAACTTAATAAGACGCTGAAGTTGTTGACGTGTGAATTGAGTAGACAGGGTGGAAAAGGGGCTCAACTTGCTAATGAGATTGTTGAATTGCAAAATTCCATGCAAAACAATGAGGCGACAAATGGCAATTCCAACAACTCCGATCACTGCTGTGCTGATTTGTCGGAGACTGCACAGATGGCTCACGTACTTGAACAACTTCAAAGTATCATTCAATGCAGTCAACCAGACATTGAATTTCCAGACTGTGGATTAGAGGCAAATATTTCATTCCTGATGGACAAATTGGTGGAAATTCTTCAATCCGATGAGTGTGAATCCAAACCATCAGAAAGGGTGACCCAATTGGTGGCGTGTCTTGAAAGTGAAGTGTGCAAACAGTGTCCATGTGAATGCGAGATTTTGGAGAAGATTCACGCAGTTCAACGAATGCTCACTCCACTGGATCAGTGCTGTTCCAACAAATTTGACATTTACCAAACCAATGTTAATCAATGCGGTGCTTCACTACAACCGACACCTGAATTGTGCAACATTGCAAAGCAACTGCAAAATATCATCAAATGTCTCAAACCGGATGCCCAATTTCCCTCTGGTGACTTACATTCCACCATAATGTCCTTGTTGGAGATGCTGAAGTCGATCATTCAGTGCGGCGAATCGAGTGCATCGGAGAGGATAATAACTATTTTGAAGTGCCTGGAAAGGGAACTTTACAAACAATGCGAAGCTGCTGCAGCACTTCTGGCCAAGGTGCGAGAGATTCAACAACTACTAAACAGAGGAAATGGTTGTGGAGGCTCCAATCAACAACGCAATATCTTCCAATGTGGTAGCGATCAGTGCGGTAACGATCAGTGTGGCAATGACCAAGGTGGCAATGATCCATGTGGTGCATCTCTAAAGCCAACTCGTCTTCTAACCTGTTTGATGAAGCACCTTCAAAATCTTATTCATTGTCTAAAACCGGATTTGCAAATTCCAAGCTATGATTTGGAGTCAACTCTTCTATTCCTGCTTAC